TCATGACCGCGGCCTCGTGGCCGAGACCGCGGTCCGCGGTCGTGCCTGCGGTGACCGCGACCGCGGGGGATTCATAGCCGCGACTCGATCAAGTGGCCTGTGGGGCGGAGACGTGTGCCGATACTGCGCACTTTTTGGGAGAAGGGTTTCCCGAACTGCTTCGACGCAATCGACTGCACACACTTGTACATTGACAAACCCGCTGCCCGCCGACGCGCCGTCAGATAACTACCACGACCCCAAACAAAAGTTCTCCGTCCAAGCGAAGGTGGTAGTCGATTTGGATCTGCGTATCCTTGACGTTCACATTGGATACTCGGGTAGTGTGCACAACATCCGTGTCCTGCACAACTCCCATTTGTGGAGGTGCGCAGAAAGTGGGCAGCTGTTCGACGCACCTCTGGAGAATCTGCCACATGGTGTCGTCATGCGAGGCTACCTTCTCGGCGATAACGGGTACCCCGTTGCCTGTCCATGGATCGTCCAGCCCTACGGAGGAATCGACCAAGGTTCTGATGAGGAACAGTTCGACTCAAGGCAAAAGGTGGCGAGGGGGTGTGTGGAGAGGGTGTTCGGGCATTTGAAGTGCACGTGGCGTCTATTCCTGCGCGCCCACAAAACGAACTTGGAGACCTTGCCACAACAATCGAAGGGGGGAGGGAGGGGTTGGGGTGGGGGGGGCGAAGAGAAGGGGGGAGGGAGGGAGGGGAAAGAAGGGGTGGGGGGTGGGGGGGGGGGGGGGGGGGGGGGGGGGGGGGTTGATATGAAGAACGTGGAGGCGCCACGTTCGCTGTGGCAGGCGACAGAGTAGGGATGTCGTTATGTCGTGTTGCGTGAGTCGTCGCCCTCCTCCACGTTCCACATCGAAGCCAACGATCGACTACAAGTGAGAGGGCACCCCCGCTCGCCCTCCACGGTCCAGCCCACCCGCCAACGGCTACCGATGGTGGTCGTTGCCTCCGTCGGCCCGCCGAAGGCCTCCGATGTCCGACTCCTGGCCCAACGGATGGCTTCTGGACCACGGAGTCCGAGACCCGAAACAACGGTGCCATGCGCATGACGCCACGACTCCGTCAAACCCGGCTTCCTAAAAATTTCAGTAGGTCTGGGGCAAGTAAAAAATTTAGGAAAATTTGCCTGGGGAATCCTAAATTCTTTAGGACGAGTCCTAACGCCGTTTTCACATTTTCGATCTCAAAATGGGATTTAGGAATGCGTGCAACCACGATGCAATCCTGAAAACAAACATTTTTAGGAGTGTCTAACGAGACCCTATGACTGCAAATTTTCTCATCGTTCTGAACACACAAGCCTATCGTCCTTGCCAGCCGTCTCAAAAACTAACCCATCGGTCATCTGATAGTTCGGTTCTTCATGGAGTGCAGCCTGCACATTATGAATGATCTCGCTATAGACTTTATCGGAAGTTTACCCTTAAACCACCAGTACCTCCGCCAGTGTTAAGAAAATACGATGTCTTGGCTAGTACCCGAACTTTCCAGGGTGCGACACAGGGTCGACAAGGTCCCATAAATCTGAATTTTATAGTGACGGAAAAAGGGGAAAAAAAAATGCTTTCTCTACTGCAATGATGTCGGGCTGGGTAGTCCAGGAGGCCGTGCTCACAATCTTCCTCCACAGAATGCACCTTACAGGTAAGGCAGTTACATTCTGAATGTTACTGTTTTCTTTTTCTTCTTTGTCGTGTGTTTCTTATGAGTCCCCTGTCCGTGAATTGCTCAAGCTCTCCGTGATCCGCTCAAGCTGTGTTTTGTTAGAGGATTGTAAGGCTCATCACACTGGCACTTAGGGGAATGTATCCAACCATTTTCAAGGCCAAATCCATGTGCCCGTTTTTTTCCCCTTTTATTCTCTTTTTGGAATCTGACAACCTGGCCACGGGGCTGAGATGCCCTCATTGAGGGCACACTCACACTACCACTTCCAAGAATGTATACAACTRCAATCACGGCCAAAGCTTTGTTTCCTTTTTTTTTTAATTCTTTTATGAGGTTCACGGCCGCAACTTTTCTTTTTTTTTTTTTTTTTTTTTTTTTTTTTCCCGTGAGAGTACTAGAAAGAAAACGAAGTGGTACCCATGCTCGACAAAACTAGGAGCGCAGTGAAATTCAGGGTCGACAAAAACAGGCTCAGAGGTACTGGTGTTTTTTTTTTTTTAAAAAAAAAAAAAAAAAAAAAACATACACACATCTTTTTAATTTTCTGTTGCAGTAGTTCGGCACCTGCGTCTAGGTAAGTAATTACAGTTCCAAAGAAGTCTGTGCGCTGACTAAGGGCATCTGCAACAACTTTGTACCGGTTTGAGCTCAAAATCCAACTCACTGGCTCAACCCATAGCTATGGCTTTTCGTGAAACAGCTCCCAAGCCTCGGAACCAGCAGACTACCGATATCACGTCCCACTCTCAAGCGCCAAATAGGAATCCCACCGAAACCCTGTTCACAGAGCCAGCGTCCAATCAAGAGGGCAGCGCCAGCTCCCCTGATGAAGAAGAAGCTTCCTAGCGAAGAAGACGAAAAAATGGCTACCGTGAAGAAGAATCCTTGGCAGCGCCCAACTCCCGACAACACAAGGGGGTATCGCCGCTCATTCTGGTCTGCACGTTATAGTATGCAACAGTTTGGTATCGGAGCGGACCTCTCATTCAGAGGACCCGCTCAATCAAGTAGCCAGCTTGCGATCTATTGATCACTCATTAGCAACGCAAGTAGGACCGTCAAATCTCTGAAAAAAAAATATCGCAACAACTATCTGAAATTTCTGATATTCGTATTTTCGTTCTATATGAAAATTTCTGATATTAGTAGTTCGTTTTTACGTGACAAATATCTGAAAATTTCTATTAAATCGCATTTCGTTTTGCCTGAAAATTCCCGATAGTAGCATTTCGTTTCTCTGGTATTTCGCATACATAGCTGAAATTTCTGAAGTTAGTATTTCGTTCTCTAGGCATATTGGGATAACGATAGAAGTGGTCATATTCTCGGAAACTGAAATTATTCTTTTCTGAAAATCGCATTTCCATTCTATCTCGGAAACTTTTTTTTTTGAAAACCGAATCTTGCGAAGCCTACCAATATTGCGTTAGGCATATTCGGAGGTTGCTATATTCTCAGAAACCGGATTTCGTTCTTTCTGAAAATCGCATCTTTACTCTATTTCGCATTTTTTTTTTTTTTAAATCGCAATTTGTAAAAGCCGAAACTTTGCGGCACCTAGCCTAGATCTCGTTCATAATACTCTTCTGACATATCCTACTCATCATAAATCGACAGATATATACAAAAAAAAAGGAAGTAGTCCTCTTTTTATTTTTTATTTTTTTTATTTTATCTGTTGATTAGGGCCGGAGGAAAGTATTGTGGGGTTGGTTACCTCCCTCCGTTTTCCCTCCCACCCACCCCTTGCATGCATCCCGTTTCGGTACAGTGCCACGTCAGCAGTGCCAGATCAGCAGTGCCAAGTCACAGTGCCACGTCAGCAGTGCCACGTCAAAGTGCCAGATCAGCAGTGCCAAGTCACAGTGTCACGTCAGTCGTGCCACGTCACAGTGCCAGATCAGCAGTGCCACGTCAGCGGTGCCAGGTCACATTGCCACGTCAGACATAGTGCCACGTCAGATACAGTGCCACGTCAGCAGTGCCACGTCAGCAGTACCACGTCAGACACAGTGCCACGTGAGCAGTGCCACATCAGCAGTGCCACGTAAGCAGCAGTGCCACGTCAGCAACATGACGGGCCTGCCAGGCCAACTGGCCAATGAGACCATTGCCGCCTACAAACAGCGATGGCTGGCTTAGATAGAGGCTGAGGAACAACGCCTGCTGGCAGTCGACGCTGCCTGCTTACAGGCTGAAGAGGCAGCAGAAGCAGAACAGCTGCGGCTACAGGCCGATGCAGACGCAGATGCCTAGGCTCGCCGCAAGGAAGCCCAGGATCTGCTGCAGCGGCATGAAGCCAACAGCATCAACAGACTCAAGTTCTGGCATTTTGAACCAAATGGCGACGAGGAAACACCGGAAGAGAAGCACAAGGAGTTCCTCTCCAAACTCGTGACGCGGTTGTTGTATGCTTGCAACTACCAATGGTCAGAGTTGGAGAGACAGTACCAGGACCTGACGCAACAGCATCAGGAGTTGGCACAACTCTGCCGCATGGTGCAGAGCCACGAGGATGCAACCCGGACACTCAATGCCCGATTGCTGGACCTGGAACAGGCTGTACCAGGACCAACTGTTGGGGCTTCCAGCAGTGCACCCTCGAGCCGCCAACTGGAGGACCGCGTTGACCACGTAGTGGCAATGCTTGGCGACATCAGCACCTTCGCTGCGACGACCACCACCATCAGCAGTCAGCTGCATACATTGAAGACCGAGGTCCAGCAGTTGCAGATGACGAATGGGGATGGCAATCCGAAGATGTATAAGATGCCAACCTTCAATCTGGAGAGGTTCGACGACTACACGCAGCAGGATCCGGTCCTCTGGTGGGAAGCATTCACAACGCAACTCAGGATTCTGCCCGTAGCCAAGCATGCGTACATCGGCGCCCTGTTCCTGAACTCACAGGGCGGATGCCAGACCTGGTTGAGCCACCTGGCAACCTCCCACGGCGTCGATGTACCAGACTTGAAGGACGTAATCACATGGGAGGAACTGATACGGCTGTGGAAGAAGCGGTTCATCGTCGACGACGCGCCGACACTCGCCATCAACCGTTTGTTCACCATGTCACAGGGCAACACAACAACACGGGACTGACTCACGGAGTGGCAGAAGATTGCGGTTGTGCCCAATCTGAACTTACCATTTGAGCATCTACGCCGTGAGTTCTACAATAGGTCCTTTGCTGCATTGAGCCAGGTTCTTGGTGATCACGAGCAGTACTCAACCTTTGCTGAGATTATTGACAAAGCAAGGGAGATCATCAAGACCAACAGGTCAGCTGCACACAAGAAATCAACATCATGGCAACCGACCTATGTGGAGAAGGTGCGAACTGGTCCGCGATAGCAACACTTCGCTGCAGTCCAGCAAGACAGTGGAGATAACGCAGCAGCCACTCCAGCATCAAGTGACAGAGATCAGGTGGCCGCTGTCCAGCCGCGAAGCACCAACAAGTCCCGCAACAATGGGAAGGCGAAATCCGCATCGCAGGCCGGAAATGGACAGCCAGGACAGTTTCCATGGGTCAAGTTTGGCTTGACCAAGGCGGAGTACAAGGTCTGCGGCCACTATGGCAGCTGCTATTGGTGCAACAGCACCAAGCACAAGACCTCCTTGTGCCAAGATCAGGGCAAGGAGGATGTGTGACCCCGCCTCAGCTCGGGAAACTGAGCTCCACGGAAGGTGAGGCAACTCCACCTTCTACTCCGCCAGATTCGACCGCCTTGCTAGCGGCCTCCTGCACATCTGGGGAGGATGCGAATGTCGCAAGTCCTCGGTATACTTACGAGGATTATATCGTCCATTTGGTTCCACCACTGGACCAACCGCTCCACGTGCAACAGTCCACCGCATGCACGGTTTCATCACTATCGGCAACCGATTCGGCAGCTTCGCCGCAATCTATCGCCGGGGATTTGACGTCATGGTCAAGACTTGAAGAGCTCGACCCATTGACGTTTACGGACTTCCAGTGGATGCCCGTTCCCTCGACCGGACAATTGCCGAAACCGCATTGCAACGTGCTTATGGCACAATTGCGGGACTACTTGCACACTGCAGTACCAGCTCCGTTGATGGACGCCGGAGCAGAGGTTGTCGACCTTCTCGCGTACATCGCGAAGATCGACCGCGAGTTCAAGACGCAACGGTACGACGACATCGACACACCATTACTATACGTACGCATTCAGATCGGTGAGGCGACCTGCAGTGCCTTGATCGATTGCGGAACATCTCGCAACTACATCAGCCAGGACTTCATGGTACGCGCCGGCCCTGGCCCACGTGTCTTGAGGAAGTCCCAGCCTACGCAAGTCACGTTGGCAGACGGTCATACGCACAAGTCAATTGACCGGTGCATTGACGCCGTTCCCGAGTACTTTGCCCCTCACGCAAGTGAGGCGGTGTCGTTTGATATTCTGGACACCAAATTTGACATGATCTTGGGCATGTCATGGTTGCGAAGCAAGGATCACCCGGTGAACTTCTTCAACCGCACTGTTCACGTTCGTGACCAGAACGGGGTATTAGTTCCATGCACGGTGCCTCTTCCTCATCCTTCGATCAGCTGCCACGTGGTATCTGCCGCAAGCATGCGAGCTTCCATCATCAGAGACAACATCGAGGAGATGGGGGTGTGTTTTCTCCACGCCCTCCCGCCCCGAGACGCTTCATCGACGGACTCACCTTCGGATCCACGCATCACCGAATTTCTCGACGCCTACAGCGACGTGTTCGAAGGCCCGCACGGAGAAGTACCGGATCGACCCATCCGCCACGAGATCATCCTCGAGGACGGGGCCGTACCTCCGCGCGGCTGCATCTACCGAATGAGCGAGGAAGAGTTAAGTGTGCTCCGCGCACAACTCGACGACCTTCTTGAGAAAGGCTGGATTCGGCCTAGCTCATCGCCATACGGTGCTCCTGTTCTCTTCGTCCGGAAGAAGAACAAGGACCTGCGGTTGTGCATCGATTATTGCAAGCTCAACGCGCAGACGATCAGGAATGCCGGCCCTCTCCCACGCATCGACGACCTTCTCGAGTGATTGGGCGGCGCCCAATTCTTCTCTAAGCTGGATCTCAAGTCAGGGTACCACCAACTCGAGATTCGCAAGGAGGATCGCTACAAGACCGCGTTCAAGACTCGGTATGGGCATTTCAAATGGCTGGTCATGCCATTTAGCCTTAAGAATGCCCCAGCCACTTTCCAAGCGGCTATGACGACGGAGTTCCGACACATGCTGGATCGTTTCGTACTTATCTACCTCGACGACATTCTGGTTTACAGTCGGAATCCGGACGAGCATCTGGAACACCTATGCACCGTTTTGGAGCGGCTACGACAGACCAAGTACAAAGCAAACCGCGACAAGTGCGAGTTCGCACAGTAGGAGCTGGAGTACTTGAGACACTATGTGACGCCGCAAGGCATCCGTCCGCTTGCGGACAAGATCRAGGCCCTACGAGTATGGCCCGAGCCCACCAACACCACGGACGTTCGTTCATTCATGGGGTTGGCGGGCTACTATCAGCGATTCATCACCGGATACTCCAGGATTGCTGCACCTATGACGAGGTTACAGTTGCCAAAGGTGCCATTCGTATTCGATGACGACGCACGCCGATCATTCCAAGCACTTAAGACGGCTATGCTCATGACACCCGTCCTTAGCATCTATGACCCCACCCTGCCGACGCGAGTGACTACGGACGCTTCCGGCTATGGCATTGGGGCAGTCTTGGAACAACACGACGACGACGACTGGCACCCTGTGGAGTATTTCAGCCACAAAGTGCCTCCCATCAACTCGCTCGATGATGCAAGGAAGAAGGATCTGCTCGCATTCGTGATGGCTCTCAAACGCTGGCGGCACTTCCTCCTTGGGCGTCGTAGGTTCACATGGATCACAGACAACAATCCATTGACCTACTACAAGACGCAGGACACGGTGAGCAGCACGATCAGACGATGGATGTACTTCATCGACCGATTTGACTTCACACCGAAGCATGTCCCCGGCCTCTCCAATCGCGCAGCAGATGCACTCTCGCGAAGACCTGATCTTTGCGCTATGACACATCATGCCTTCACATTCGACGAGGAGCTTCAGCGACACTTCATCCGGGCATATCAGTCTGATCCGGACTTCGACACGCTCTATGCACAGCTATCTTCGGATCACCCGTCGGCCAGCCATTACCGCATTGCCGACGGGTACTTGCTCCTCCACTCGAGAGGCAAGGACTTACTATGTATCCCAGGCGATCGTCGTCTTCAGACTCGCCTCCTCGGCGAGTACCATGATTCACGACTCGCTAGCCATTTCGGAGTCAACCGCACTATTGCACGGCTTCGACAGCGATTCCGATGGTCCGACCTCATTACCGATGTCACTCGGTATTGCGACTCTTGCGAAGTTTGCCGACGAAGCAAGCCCCGCAACCGCAATCCCTACGGCAAGTTACACCCGATGCCTATCCAACGGGAACCCGGTCTCTCCATTGCCATGGACATCACCGGTCCGTTTCCTCGCGGCCGGCTCGGGCACGACGGCATCCTCACGGTTGTGGACCAATTGAGTAAGTACGCGCGTTTTCTTCCTTGCAAGTACTACTCCACGGCTCCCGAGCTGGCACGCCTCCTGCACACTGGTTGGATTTGTGGCCACGGTGTACCAAAAGACATTGTCAGCGACCGCGACACTCGTTTCATGTTGGCATTTTGGACTGCTCTCATGCAGGAGTCCGACACAACAATGAAACCAAGTTCGGCCTGACACCCTCAGACAGACGGGCAGACGGAGCGGGCACATCAGACCGCTCAAATGATGCTTCGTACGCTCATCCGTCCGGACCAGAAAGATTGGGTTGACCGCCTCCCCGACATCGAGTTCGCCTACAACACTTCGGTGCATCCGGCGATCGGCGTGACTCCATTCAAGTTGCACCACGGTGGACGGAAAGGCCGGATCTTCGCCGACCTTCTCCTCCCTCGACCAGCCGACATTGACACTGCTTGCTCTCCCTCTTCCGTCCGGAAGTACAGGGAATTGCTGACTCAAGCCCGCGCAAATATGCAAAAGGCTCAAGTCCGCATGCAGCAGCAAGCCAACAGGCGTCATGTCCCATCCGCGGTGATCTGGTTTGGGTCTCCGCGGAAGAGTTTGCACTGGAACAGGATGTTTCACGCAAACTGCTTCCCAAGTGGTTTGGACCTTGGTCTGTGACAGCAGCCGCGGGCGATGAGCCCGATGGCC